CAGGCTCAGAGGGGCTGATTTTCCCTAAATCTCAGGGCTAGACAGTGAGCAGGCTTAGATGGGAAGAAGTGTGAGAGAGAGCTTTGCTTTCCCTGGCAAGAGGACAGACCAACCTTCCGTCATGTGGCCCAGTAACTTGCAACAGTGATCGTTTATTTCAACCCTGACGTGGCCTCTTTGGCCTCTGTGGGATCATCTGATGATCATCTGATGGCTAAAGCTCTGCCTGGATCAAGTCCAGATCAGTAAGCCATTCATTCTCTTCCAGGTACACTAAGGTCGTAGACTTTCAGGCCTTAAAGGAGGTGTGTTGCCAGTTCAGTTCAATGCAGGTACAATTACATCTTTTTTTCTTTTTTGAGACAGAGTCTCACTATGTTGCCCTCAGTAGAGTGCTGTAGCACCACAGCTCACAGCAACCTCAAACTCTTGGGCTAAAGTGATTCTTTTGCCTCAGCCTCCCAAGTAGCTGGGACTACAGGCACCTACCACAATGCCCAGCTATTTTTTTTGTTTCAGTTGTCATTGTTGGTTAGCTGGCCTGGGCGGGGCTCAAACCCACCAACCTCCGTACATGTGCCTGGGGCCGTAACCACTGTGCTATGGGCGCCAAGCCACAATGACATCTTTACAACACAGGTCCTGAGTCCCTCTGTGTGCGAGGCACTTTGCAAGGCTGTGGGAACACAACAGCCTCTTAGGCAACAGTGAAGGCCATGGTGTCACAGGGCTTTCAGAACAGAAGCTACTTTTTTGTTTTTAGGGTTTTTTTTTTTTTTTTAGATTGCTATGAAGGTACAGATGTTTAGGTTACATTGTTTTCATTTCTAAGATAAAGTTCAGGTTAGAGTTGAGCCTTTCACCAGGGGGTGTGCTGAACACCCTCACATTATGTACATTAGATCAGATCCTGTCAATCGCCGTCCCTCCCTCGCTCCCCTCCCCCCAGACTATACTGGTGTTTTTCTTGTCTGTGGGCTTGTGGTTGTTTATATATTGCTTTCATACTAGTATTGAGTACATTGGATATATGTTTTTTCCATTCTTGTGATACTTACTAAGAAGAATGTGTTTCAACTCCATATAGGTAAACACAAAAAATGTAGAGTCTAATCTTAGGGGCCTGAATAGTATTCCATGGTATACATCATATACCAAAGTTTGTTAATCCATTCATGGGTTCATGGGCACTTAGGTTGATTCTCCACCTCTTGGCAATTGTGAATTGAGCTGCTAAAAACATTCTAGTGAAAAGGTCCTTGTGGTAAAATGACTTTTTTTTTCTTTTGGGTAGATCCCTAGTAAGAGATTGCAGGACCAAATGGAAGGTCTGCATTTAGTTCTTTGACAGTTCTCCATGCCGGAAGCCAGTTTTCACAGCAGCCTTTTCTCCCCTGTGCCTCCTGGTTCCCTGGCCTCGTGTGCGCGCGCGCATGTGTGTGTGTGTGTGTGTGTGTGTTGTTTCAGATCCAGCTGATAGTGGACTGCAGGATTTGGGCTTCCTGATGGTTCATTGCCTTTACTGTCATCAGTGTACTGAGTGTTACATGTGTTTGAAATGGAATCATTCTTTAAAGAATTGAAATATGAACTATGCATAGGGTGAATTATTTTTATTATTATTATTATTATTTTGAGACAGAGTCTAAGCTTATGGCCCTGGGTTCAGTGTTGTGGTGTCACAGCTCACAGCAACCTCAAACTCCTGGGCTTAAGGCTTAAGGTGGTTCTCAACCTTCCTAATGCCTCCTAATGCTGTAACCCTTTAATACAGTTCCTCATGTTGTGGTGATCCCCAACTATAAAATTATTTATGTTGCTACTTCATAACTGTAATTTTGCTACTGTTATGAATCGTAATGTAAATATCTGATATACAGGATATATTTTTATTGTTACAAAGGGGTTGTGACCCACAGGTTGAGAACCGCTGGCTTAAGCTATTCTCTTACCTCAGCCTCCCAGGTAGCTGGACTAGAGGTGCCCCCCTCTCCCCCCGCCCCGCCCCCAACCCTGGCTGTTTTTAGAGATGAGGTCTCCCTGTAGGTCAGGCTGGTCTGGAATTCATGAGCTCAATCTACCTGCCTCGGCCTCCCAGAGTGTAGGATTACAGGCATGAGCCACTGAGTCTGGCCTGAATTGTGTTTTCAATGTAAGGAAGTTTTGTTTAATTCTTTCCAGCTTGAGTACTCATGTGGGTATAATTGTATCAGCAAATTTCCCCCAAAGAGAGAGAGATCAGGCTTATTAAATGTGGTGTGGTCCCCTAGTGATGGCAACGGAGAATAATGAGTGGCGAGTGTTTCCTTCCTGTGCCGTCCACGTGTTCCTGCCAGCCTTCCACAGCGTGATGCCTACCCACTTGTGCTTTCTATTGCTCTGAGACAGTAGGAAAGGCACCTTTTTACGTTTCTGTTGGTGCTCCATAGTTAAGAAATATATTTGATAGTGTGTATTTTTCAACATGGATATATTTACAAATGTGAAATGAAATGAGAAGAAATTGAACAGTGTGAAAATGCACCGTAACACAGTCTGTACTTTTTTTTTTTTTTAGACAGAGCCTCAAGCTATCCCCCTGGGTAGAGTGCCGTGGCATCACAGCTCACAGCAACCTCCAACTCCTGGGCTCAAGCGAGTGTCCTGCCTCCACCTCCCAAGTAGCTGGGATCACAGGCACCTGCCATAACGCCCGGCTATTTTTTGGTTGCAGCCATCATTGTTGTTTTGGCGGGCCCGGGCTGGATTCGAACCCGCCACCTTGGGTGTATGTGGCTGGCGCCTTAGCCACTTGAGCCACAGGCGCCGGCCCACAGTCTGTACTTTTGATGTACCTCATTTCACTGCCAGAAATGAGGCCACAGTTGATCATTTACAAGGCCTAGGGTTTGTGATAGCTTCTTTTCCCCTGGGTTGTCTTTCTGATAAGACTGATACTTACCCAGAAATTCATAGCTGCTCTACCAGTAATAGGCTGCTTCCTCGTGAGTGTGTATGTGTAAGGAGAGACCAGCACTGCAAGAGTTTTAGAATAGCTTTTCCTTTCGGCTTAGTTTCTGCTTTTAGCAGTGAGGCCTTCAAGCAGCAATTTGTGTGTGTGTGTGTGTGTGTGTGTGTGTGTGTATTTCACTTCCTCTCAAAGATATTTCAGACAGTGCAGTTTTAAATCAGCTGCAGAAGGCAGATGTTGAAGAACGCTAATGCGATTGTTTAGAGCAGAGAATTGGATGATGGTGTAGTAATTACCAGAATAGCTGACTTTGGGGATTACTGACTACTTGGTGCTTAGTAAGCATTGTGCACGCACCTTCAAATGTACAATCCCAGTAACCTTGTAAGAGAACGCTACAGAGACAGCCACGGTTCAACAGCTGGAGCTGGTCAGAATTTGAATTCAGGCCTTTGGCTGCAGGCCCCTCACCCTAAGCCTCTCCTGTGGTCTTGACTGCCTACTCTTAAAACATTTGGTCACATATGTGCAAAACTCAGAATGGCAAGTCCTCCTAGGTGAAAGGAAAACTGTTATATGGGGAAATGTTCCATTCTAGGCTTGCTGTTCCTTTCCCTTGACTTTGTTACTTTCCTTGATGCAAAAGTGTCTGCATAAAGGGGCTGTATAAAAAGAGACATAAAAATAGTAGAGTGCTAGGTAATGGCCTACTTTAAAGTTTTGTTCAGAAAGTGCTCTGTTATTTTTTACTTTTTCCCCCTTTTGCACCACTTTTATATAATATTTCTCCACCTCTGGCCTTTTTACCTTTTTTCTCTGCTAGAATGTTTCATTTGAATTGACTTCTATCTGAAAGTAGTTCCAGGCTTGACTTGGTCAGGTTTACAGTAAAAAATCCATAATTTAGCTGTGACAATGCAGTACAGGGAATATTTCATTATAACTAAAAACTTGATCTATGTTGTTTCAGGTGGACAATGTTTCATTTCCTTTTTAGCTTAGGGAATAAGGATCCTTTACGCCATCCACCATCTCATTTGGGAAATCAGTCTCTCTCCCCCACCTCTCATAACCACTATGAATATTATGGATGACAGAATGACAGAGAAAGGCAATACGGATAATGTCCGAGTGAAGGCGAAGCTCAGTGGCTCAAACCTGTAATCTCAGCACTTTGGGATACCATGGTGGGAGGATTGCTTGAGGCCAGAAGTTCAAGACCAACCTGGGCAAATAGCAAGACCCCATCTCTGCAATAAATAAATAGATAGATATTAGAGTACATATCTCAAAGAATAAGCTGTAAGATAAGTAAACAGTATGTTCTAAAAGATATCTTTGCCAACTTTGTGCTATTTCTTCATATTTTTGCAAGCTACTTTCATCTCTGGTTTTGGTTAGCACTTACAGGCAAACACAATTTTGACAGATAGGAGAATATTTTGTTCCTTAACTTTGTGTAGGCTCACCTACATAGTAGGTATGTTTCAACATACCCAGGCAGCTCTAGAATTTTCATCCTCTTCTAAGTTATCCCACTCTTTATTTATTTATTTATTTATTTGTCAAGACAGAGTCTCACTTTTTCACCCTCGGTAGAGTGCAGTGGAGTCGCTCGCTCCAGCAACCTCCAACTCCTGGGCTTAGGCGATTCTTTTGCCTCAGCCTCCCAAGTAGCTGGAACTACAGGCGCCCGCCATAATGCCTGACTCTTGCTAGTTACTCCACAGCCTGTGGCAAAGGAGTTAAGCATTTAATGCAAAGATATTTGCTTAACATATGTACAACATTTAAACACCTCAAATTCTATTATTTTTTTTTTTGCTTTGCCAAACCTTGATAATCAGATCCTTTTGGAATTTGCTTAGTTTTAATTTTAGTTAAACTTCTTTAGACTGAATTGTGGAAGAAATTATATTATGGGCTGGGATGGGTGGGGCAATATGAGAATGGATTAGAATTCCTCTGTGTTTTAAAATATTTAGGCAGGTTAAATTCAATATGATGTTTACCTTTTGTTAAAGCTCTACTTTTTTGTTTTTTCTTGCAGGAGAGACTTTATTTGAAGAGTTCTAAAAGACTGAAAACCTTCAAGACATGAAATTGCCTAGGGAATATTTTTACATGTTTTATATGGTTTTTATCATGGAATCAGCAGGCATGTGGATAAAACCTCAAAGGGAAATAATATTATTATGCTAGGTATAGAATTCTGTTTGCTTTGAAACAAGTTTTGGTTTAAAATGTCTGATGAAAAATTTATTCCATTTCCAGGGAAGGAAAGAGCTGATTTTTTTGTATCTTCCCAACCTCCCTCAGCTACCACTCCTCCAACCCCTGCCCTGGCCTTGGTGTACAGTTTTTCCATTACGAATGTCATGTACAGTCTGAGCTTATGCTCATGGTGTGTGTGGTGGGGTTGTGTGTGTTTCTGTATTCCAGTTCTTACGTCCCATTTGATAGTGGTTGTAATAAGAGCATCATAAATACAGTTTAGCTGTTACAAAAGATAACAGATGTATCTTCAGTGGCCAAAGCTTTGTGGAAATAATCTCCTCCAGCCCTGAGAAATTGATTCCCTATGAGATCTTGGAGTCTGCTGGGACCAGAAGCTAGACTTTGAATTACAGACCAAGAATTCAACATTAACTCTGGCTGCCACTGTGCTATTCCTTGGTCACATACAAAATATTGAGAATTTATTTTTTTCAACTTGAGCTAAGCAATTCTTATTTAGTCCACTGATTGAAAATGGCTTCAAGTCACTAAAAAAAAAAATTATTGTTTTGATAACCCAAGGCCAAAATAAAAGAACCCTGCTTCTGCGGGTAATAAGGGCCCACACCTACCTCTGGCATGTTTTCCTTGGTATACTTCCTGTTCCCCGACTTATAATGCTCGTAGTGACTACTTTCCCTTTAGGCCTGGCAAACTCATCTTTTTTTTAACTTTACATTTTACAAAACACCTGAAAAAACCCAGAGGCAAAGATAGCAGTACATTACTGATGGTAGGTCTGGGGTAACAGCTGGCAAAGTCCTGTTACAGGGAAATCACCGAGGCCCGCCTCTATCAAAATATACTTCAAAGTATTTACTATAAATATGCTTATTTGATTCTGTTTCTGGCACCAAACTACAAATTTATAACCTTGTAAATGACTAATAAATTCAATGTCATGCAGATTTTTGCTGACGACTAATAAGGGTGCATGTGTATACATTCACGTACACCATGGAGTAGGAGACGTCAGTGTGGAAACCAATTTCACTGAGGTCCAGAAAATAGCCATACAGGAATTTTAGGGGTGTATATTAGTATAAATAATATATGTGCAGTCTAGGCCATTAATTTTAATTAAAAACAAACAAGCATACTTTTTTGCTTTTGAAATATTATGCCCTCAAAATGGTGAGGGGATAAAATGTAAGATATTCTTCAGCTTTAAATATTTTTTAATTTTATTCAAATCCAAGCACTTTTTTTATAGCAATACAACAGACAAGAGAATACTCAAAAATATTTAAAATTGTATTTATACCAAGAGTACGTTTTAAATATTTTTTTTAATACTTGAGGAGTTTTTGTCTGGCTGGCTTCCAAAAATGCCAAAAGTTAAGCATTCACTATTTTCAATGCATAAGCTTTTTACTGGTTTATATTTTCCTATCTGATGAGAATCCGTAAGTGTTCCCAGAGCAGCCGATGTTTACATATCTCGTGTTTTTCCTCCTCCTTTATAAGGATTGGAATCCACAATAAAACTTCTGTAAAACACTAATGATGGATGGTTTTCTGTGTCATAAATGAGTTGGCTACACCTTGATGTAAAAATTTGTAAAGGAAATTTTTCACCATTTTGACTGTCAAATGTATTTTTAACTGTCTGGTTTGTACTTTTATGACTTTTGTACTACCAAAGCAGAGTTAAAAATAAAAACGTTAAACAGTGTGTTATTTTGAATGAACTAATCGTTGGTGCCTTTAACTTATTGAGCGTAATTTTATGGTGCCATTTTCTGGGGTATTTTTTTTTCTTTTTTTTGAGACAGAGTCTCACTTTGTTGCCCTTGGTAGAGTGGTGTGGCGTCACAGCTCACAGCAACCTCCAGCTCTTGGACTCAAGTGATTCTCTTGCCTCAGCCTTCCGAGGAGCTGGAACTATAGACACAATGCCTGTCTATTATTGCAGTTTGGCTGGGGCCGGGTTTGAACATGCCACCTTCAGTATATGGGGCCGGTGCCCTACTCACTGAGCCACAGGTGCTGCCCTCATGTGCTGGGATTCTCACATCCTAAAGTACTACTGAGTGATTGTTTGGCTGAGTTTCCTCATTGGGTTTTCCATCCTGGGCTAGCCTTCACCTCCAACACAAGCCTGCTTTGGAGACACTGTGGGTTCAGTTCCAGACTAGTGCAATAAAGCAAGTATCACAGTAAAGCCAGTCACATGCATTTTTTGGTTTCCTAATGTAGATAAAAGTTATGTTTACACTATGTAGTCTTTTAAAATGAAATAGTATTATGTCTTTAAAAAGTAT